CCCCCCCCCAGGCCGCATCGCGCTGGCAAGACCGCAAGAACCTCCAATACTGCGGCAGTATGCCTGCAAAACGCTGTGACAGAGTGAGGTTTGCCTGGCCTTGGCAAGCCGACAGCCCTCGTACTGCGCATCAGCACGAGCAATGGGCGGGTGCTTCTGATTGGTCTGCAGCTCCTTGCCTGATGTGCAGCAGCCCGCTTGGCTAGTTTCATTTCTGTGTCTACGGTTGTCGCTGTGCACGCGCAACCATCGAGACCCACGTGGAATATCCATCAGGTGGTGGTGGCGGTTGGGTTGGTGCCGTGTGGGCCCACTGCAGGCCGCAACCTTGCCATGGCCAGCCCAAACCTTTTGAGGCTTTGGCACCAGGAGCTCAACTTGCTGCTCCAGCTTTTCCGACCAGACAGGTTCAGGGGGTTGCACGCGTAGCCCTGAGCAGTTCCACAGTTGGACATGGTGCAGCGAATGCATGCCTGCCTGCGTGTGTCGCCTCACACTGCGGCACGCCGCACTCACAGCGGAGCCTGCCACCCCTGCGAGCCAGAGGCGCAGAAACGCCACACCACATGACCGATGGTCGGAGCTATACGGTATTCATGAGGCCGTGCGGGGTTGTCAGGTCGGTTAGTGGCAGAGACTTTAGGTTTGCCGCCAGCTGCTGGCTCCTCGCTGCCAGCTTTGACTCCGCCCTGAAGCGTTTCTCAAGCCGTGCCTTGTACGGTACTGCCTACTTAATTCGGGACAGCCAGCCTGCTCAGAGTCCCCGCCAGGATATTTTGGCGCAGGGGCTGCGTGCTGCGTGGTAAGCGACCAACATGATCACTCCATGGTTGATGGCTGGGAACTGCTTAGCGGGAAAGTGACTGATTTAGACGGGCATTGCAGCGGTCTTTGCCTTTTAGCAGCCAGGTCAGCCAGTCACACACAGTGCTCTTTACAGGAAAGGTAATCAAGTGTAATGCTGATGGGAAGTCACGCTGATCAGATATTGCATGGATGTCCTGCACCCGGGGCACCATAATCCGATCCAGGCACATCAGAGCCGGGTTCAAGCCTGAATGAAGTTCACCCACACCCGAGCATGTGCATTGATGCAAAAGTACGCATCAAATCTCACATCAAGCCCATCATATCAAAGCGGCCTGCTCATCATACATCATCAAAGCTTCGTGTGTGCATTACAGGCGATTTGGTCAAAGCCGCTCACAAAAAGCAGCCGCTCATGCCTAAGGGGATGCGGTGCACTAGATTGCCAGCTGCAGCGCCGCGTGGGCACTGGCAACCGGGCCTCTAGCACAGCAAAAAGATGGGGTCACAAGCCATGAAGGATCACCTTCCGCCAAGGAGGCCGGTGGTCAACCCGCCCACGGTGTTGGTGACGGGGCCAAGGAGGCCGCCAACAGTGGGGCCAACAGTGGGGCCGACGACGGGGAGGCTGTTCACGGTGCTGGTGAGGGACCCGCCCAGGCTGGTGACGGTGCCACCCAGGTTGGAGGTGACGCCGGTCAGGATGCCGACGGCTGAGCCGGTCGCGCCGGGCTGCATGCTGCCCGCGGCGCTGGTGACGGGGCTGAGCACGCTGCCGAGGGGTGTGCCTTCGGAGAGTGTGCCGCCGGGGGAGGTACTGACGGAGCCGTCGGTGTTGCCGAGAAGCAGTGCGAGGATCCCGCCGCCGAACCTGTTGTTCGGGACCGCTGCGGCGTCCTTCAGTGTGCGGCCCGCGAGGGTGGGCGTGGCCAGGGCCAAAATGGCCAGGGCGGCCACGGCCACGAATCTCGTACGAGCCATGGTAGAGGGTGGAAGACCTTTGCCTGTGTGTCACGAGCAGGAGCAGGGGCAGGTGGGGAGCGGGGCGGGAG